AATGTTATGAGTTAAAAAAAAATATATACATAAGGGTAAAAATATCTTTAGGTGTTGAGAATAAAGAAAAATGTGATAGATTTTAAAAGAATTTTGAGATTGTGGTAGATTGGAAAAGAAATTTTAAAATAAGTGGTAGTTTTGTTAATTTTCTCTATATAAAAAAGATAGTAGATAACCAAATAGTGTTTTTATTCTGCCTGAAAACAAAATAAAAAAGTATTATATGGTCACAATCGTCTTTTATAAATATCTTTACTATATGGTGTATAGTAACTTGCTTTCCAAAAATTATGTATAATAACTTTGTAAATATTTATATAAAGGGTAATCAATAAGTTGTTTAGGCAACAAAATAAAAAGTATATCACAATCCTAAAGTGCAAGCCAGCAGTGGATAGTCTAGTGCAAACCATAAAGAAATTTTCGAAGATGACAAACACGAGAGTCATTATCTAACTGAAAGATGTATCAACTGGAGGTTTCATCCAAACTTCTTCATCAACAGCGTCATGTATCAAATATTCAAATGAGAGAGGAAACATTACTTCCCCGGAAAATAAATAATTAGATAGAGTTTTTGGACGTATTCGTTAATTAAAAAGTATTTTCTCTATTTTTTAAATAGAAAAAAATGAAAAAAAATTTAAATGAAACCCAATAGCCCATAAAGTTATTTCACAAAGTAAGAAGAGAATCCTTTATTTGAACCATAATAGAAACCAGATAGAACATGGTTCTCGTAGAAAATAAGGCTCGCATGGAACATAAACAAAAGTACAAAATGTAAAGTTGTAAAAAGTAAACATAAAAAGGATCAGTCAGGCTTGATCCGAACACCGTACCAATCGAAAAGAAAAACAAAAAGTGAAAGAGAGGAAAATAAGAGTCTTGTTGTGTCTTTAGAGAGTCCTAAGAAAGCTAACCCAAACGTCATCTGCTTTGTCTATGGCCTCATACGAGAATTCGAGAGATGTTTTCTCCTCCTTCCACTTCCGCACAGACAGATGATGCTCCTCGTAGGCTTTAGAAGCCTCCTCTATGACGATTGATAGATTCGCAACAATCTTCTGGAAAGTCATCTCAACCTCTTTCTTCTCGGCCTCAAGCTTCAAAATGGCTTTCTTCAAGGCGAATATTTTGACGTACAGTGCGTCACCCTTTTGAGCGTAAACCTTAACTGACTCAAGCTCAGCGTTCACTCTTTTCTGCTTCTCCATGGCTATCTCTTCGAACAACGTGGAACGCTGCTGCGCCAGTTGGACTCGTTGAGAGGCCTTGGTTCTTTCCTTTATCATACTCTTGTACATGGACAGCCTCGAGATGTAACTTACAGAAGCAAAGGTCAGCTCCTCATAACGTGCAGCCATACTTAGTATCTGATCGAAATCCGAATGAGTCACGAGCTCACTCACTTTTGTATTACGATATCTTTTAAGGGTCACTCTTAGCTTCTCTATTGTCTCTGATTTTTCCGTAGAGGTACGCTTTCCTATGTTTACCGTTGAAGACGATATCTTATGCTTTTCAACAATCGCAGTCAGTGATGCTATGAGGCTAGAGGTCTTTGACGAGGAGCCCTACATATCAAAGTCAGTCCATTTATGGTGATGTTAATAATTAAGAAATTTAATTACTTTTGAGTATTGTTCAAATTTCATGGAAAATGTCCTCCTCCAAGTCTAAGAAGAAATTAACCTCGTAAGTGGATTCTTCCTTGATGATGTCATCTAAGTTATACTTTGGTATAACGATGGGAGAATCATCATCTTCCTTATTACCATTTTGGTCTTGGTTAAAGCAGCGCCACATACCTGCCATACGAAAAAGAAACTCTTGTGGCGCGGTTTCTTGATTTTTGAAATCGATTTGAACATGCATATTTCTTCACTGTTCTTAGGAAAATTAACATATATTTGTACAACTTTATATTTCTTTTGACTAATCAATAAAATTACATAAAACACTTGTATGGTGTTCAAATAGAAATAAAAATAAAATTAAAGCTTAATTGAGAGATAAACCTGTCTGTCCAATTCCTAGAGATCCCATGATCCCTGAGCCACCATTGCTTTTCTGTGACACATACTGTTGACGACTTCCCATAGAGTACGCAGCTAAAGAAAATAACTAATTATATACATTGCGATGATCTTATAATAACCCTTTTAAGAACTACGTACACTGACAATACGAAGATTATGTATTTATATATCTCAACGTGTACCTTCAGATTTGCTTTCAGTTGTTGTCTTTGTAAATTTTTGTTGAACAAGTTCTTCAGCAGCCGCAGCTAGGATCGAAGTGGAATAGGGATCGGTTAATATATATACACAAAACAGAAATCTTAATTTAGAGATAACATTAATTTGTCAAAGAATATCATTTCAGGTAGGCACCAAGAATGGTTCAAACTTAAAAAAATATAAAAATATTAATAATTAATGATTCAAGGTTTTCTCTAAATTCTCTGTATTTAATATTTTAAAACTGACTTTACTTGCATAATTAAGAAAATAGAGATTAGTAACAAGTATATGATAGGTGGACGTGAATTTTACAAATAGAGATTATGTTATAGTTTTTGCCGAACATATGTTTTTTTGTTAAATGCCAAACATATCTTTTAATAATTTCCATGTTAGTTTTTACAAAGGTAAAATATTAAAAATAACTACGTGAGTAAATGCTAATATATTACCTTTGATCCCGCGTTCAATCTCCTCAAGTCGAATCCGTCTCGCAGCTAAATCAAACAGAACATAATAAAAAGAGTTTCTAAATCTACCAAAACACATTTGTGCACGTAAAATCAGAAACAAAGTAAAAAAAAAAAGAGGAAGAG